TGCGGTGTTCACCATTTTGGGTTGTCACGTCATCTGGTACAAAAATATGCATTAAATTCCCAATTAGTTATATACAAGACAGTTAGCTACGAGCCAAAAAAAATTTAAAAAAAAAATTCGAAAAATGGCGGTTGTTTGAAATTTGAAGTCGATTTTTGACCTATTTTTTCAAGTTACCAATGCATTTTTTAAACATTTGTAACAAAAAATTTATAAAAGTTTGATCGTAGCTAATTAAACAAAGCATTCAAGAATATTGTGTCCAAATTTCAAAAAGATCTATCGATCCGTTCTCGAGATATCGTGAACACCGTTTTTAAAAACCATGTTTCGAGAAAAACGCGTTTAAAGTTTGAGAAGAAATTTGGATATCATTAATTGTTTATAATGCTATAACTTGAAAACAACTCGTCTTACGAAAAAAATGCAAAAGACAAAAAAGTTTTATTTTGATTCGAAAATATTAGTAATAATTAAAAAAATTTTTTTTGTTAATTAACAATAAAATTGTTTTAAAAAAAATTTTTTTTATAATTTTATTTTTAGTCGGCGATTCCGGGGCCATATAAAAGTCCTTCGATGACGACTTGAGGAGAGGCTTCTCGAAGGACACGAAGTCCTGAAAGGAGAGAGCTATCTCGCGATACCGGCGAAAAAGGCGCGATACCGCTACGCTCCGCTCCGCCCCGCTTCAGTAAAACTTCCGTAACTTCTACAATTCTTCGAATTTCTTAATAATATTTTAACACAATATTTTTGAAACTATATATTTTCAAGAAATGCAATAAAAAGAAAATCGATTTTTTCAAAATTCTACTCAGGTGTAAGCCCTTAATTTCAGTCCATTTGTTGGTGAGTGACCTAACGTATGCAACATAATGTCCCATACCATTGATAATAATAGGTGGTATAAACCGGATTACGCCACACAAAATATAATTTTTGTCTTGTACTTGTATTGTAGTTAAAATATCATTTAAATTAGTGTTCGGAAAAGTCTTATCAGGGAAACGAATCGATGATTCATAAAAATGTTCGATATTTAAACATAAGTAATCACAAATTTGGATAATTTTTCTAGCGGAGTTTTTATGACAGCTCTGACAGTAGATAATTTTTGCGCGTATGAACTCATCTACACTCTCATTCAAATGTTGCATACCTTTTTCCCAGACTATTTTCGCGCCTAAATTTAAAACCGGTATATTCCGCGAATTAACTGCACAACATTGAGAATTTTGACACATTATTGTTTCAGTATTTACATCGTATGTTCTCATTAGTTTACTAAATAAATCGCTAACATTTCCCTCACAAGTTATATTGTTGCTAGCAGACGGATATAATGAATTTAACAAGGTTGCTCGTAATTTGTAAAACGACGCTGTAGCTCCGTGTTCAATATAATTACTTACACATGTAAAAAAACAAATAGTTTCTTTTCTCTTTTGTGAAGTAACAAAATTCTTAAAGTTTTTAGAGTTACAACAAGCAGCATATACAATTTCAGTAATTGAATCAAACGGACAAGTGTTAAAAAGATGAATTTTTTTATTATTAATCATACGTGGAGGTAATCTGTTGCCATTTATAGTAAAATCTTTTTTAAACTTTTTTTGAGCAGGTTTTCGGTGGATTACCTTTATGTTAGGACATGGAGTAACATATGTTCCACGTTTATTCAATAAATTCTTGTCATTTTCCAAATTTTCATTTACTTTAATTATTATTGGTTCAATTACTTTTTTTTCAACGTCCAACACAATGGAAAAAGTGTTTTCTGAATTTTGTATAATTGGATAATCCTCCATACTTTTCGGAGTTAAATGAACAAAATCTTTTGAATTAACAACTTCCATTAATTGATTACACTCATCAGTATCAAAATCATTAGTACAAAAATTATCCTCTTCATTTCCATTAGATAAATCACATGTATCATTCACTACTTTATTTTTCCAATTTTTTTTTTGTTTGTAAAATTAATTGTTCCTCCTTCCGTAACTTTTCCTCATGTTTTTGATTAATAATAAATTTGTTTTTCTTTGATGCATCATAAGCTGCTCTTGCTTCGATAACTTTGGTATTAATTGACCTTACGTGTTTTATAAAAAATTTATCAAATCGGTACGGTTGACGTTCTTCTAAGACATTTTCTTTGACAAATCGAAAATAATTTTCGGATCGAGCAGACGTTGCAACAGTATTTTTGGAATTAAAACAGTTTAACATAACATTAGTCCACGATGGAAATTGTTTAAATAAACGTTTCAAATCATTGGTAATTTCTGGAAAATAATACATGTTTATATCATTAAAATTAATTGACATATTTGAATTTTGCTCTAAATGCGTTTGCTCTACAATTTGATCAATATAAACCGAAAGATTATCCGCGTTGTAGTTATAATTATGATCTACTGTCTCAACAGAAAATTCATTAATTTCATCGTTACAAGAAATGTGTTCTGTACAATTATTGCCATTTTCACAAACAGTAGACTGTCTTATTTGTTTATAATCTATGGAATCATCAAATTTGAAAGTTTCTATTCTTTTCAAAATCCACTGAATATTTGCATGACATTTACTCTCGTTTTGACAGACAATCAGAACTGATTTCATATATTTGTCTAAGTCTTGAAACATTTCAATTGTAGTCATAAATCCTATACATCGTAAGTAAAAATCTTTTACTGCTGGTTTTGCACGAGATAAACATTTTAGTCTAGCAACACAATGTATCAGATGAGCAACATCAATACGAATAAATGGCCGTAGTACAGATTCAGTTTTTCCAATTAAAAAATCGTAACAAATTGACAAATACTTTTTATAAAATATTCCACTAGTTGCTAAAGTAATCGCATTTTAAAGTGTAATTGACATATCAGTGACTATTTCTAAAGGAACATGTGCGCCAGATGAAATCCATTCTCGTAACCAGAATTCAACGATTCGAGTGTCTTGCCGTTCCGAGAGAAGTTGACCACATGGTATTATGATCTTACCAACGTGAGTAATTATTCGATATAAAAAAATGTGATTACTAGAATTATTTTCTGAACGTGTTATTTTACGGACAACGCTTTCTGTCGCGTCAAGAGAAACAGCTGAGCCAAGTTTTATCGTCATTATAAACGTCAATTTGTTCCGGTGTCCAATACATAAAAAAAATTTATCAAAGCCAGTTTGTTTAATAGCACGACTAAATTCAACATTACTTTTTAAATGTTCCAGCAATTTCCATACAGTATCTTTAACACCGAATTCTTCATTTTTAGCTTCAAAACGAACTCTATTAATAACATTGTTATTTGGTACCAAAGGACCAATTTGATCGCCATATTTATGATATTTTTTAATTAATTCACTTTTTAATACATCGGTTTTTTTGTGTTTTAAATGCTTTTTAAACGACGTTTTTCGAATCCCAGACACATATCTTTTTTTGAAGTGTATTAAATCTTCAGTATTTAAGGTAACGAATTCGAGCGATACATTATCATCATTGGTAAACTGAAATAATACTTGCCCATAAGTTTGAGCTTTACAATTGCAATCACTGCAAAATCCATTAATTTTTACAATATAATCTGTAGCATTATAACAGTTCGTTGGTATTACTTTGTGATTTTTGAAAGAATACGCACATGGCGATTTTTCTTGTAAAAAAATTAATTCAGACAAAATATGTGTCCATCCGTTCTTCAAAGAATAATAAATTTGTCCCCTATTATTTATCCCCTTTTTCTTCTGGCTTAATATTTAACCATTGTTCTTTCGATAAAACAATTTTGAATTAATTTTTTTTATCATTACATGGATGTTGCGTATTCCACTCCAAACTGTTGAAACTGCTATCACTATCATTACACAAGTCAGAAATATCAATGTCATCAGTTTTATTTAGAATTATACTTTCTTCCCTGAAGTTATTAAAATTATTAAAACTAATCACATTTTTCATCTTTTTATATGTTTCGAAAACGTTATGCCGATTTTGATGGACATAAAAATATAAATTAAAAGGTTTCATTCGATTGTCCCATGTTGCGCATATGTCTCTCCAAACTGAATTAAATTTAGATTTCAATTTACCGGTTTGATTGTCACAAATTTCAAACTGTATTAAAGTCTTTATAATTTTAGAATTAGATATTGCAGCACAAGGACCCATTATTATAAAGAAAATTATAGAAAACGTCTTGCACTGTGATATGGACTTTGCAGCGATCGTCTTTTTTTTTACTATATTTTCAAAATATCGCGAATAGAAGCTATACCAAAATGTGAAGAGCATAACTTAATTGTCAGAATAATGTACATTATTATTATATTATTAATTTAATCTCAATATAACCTGTATCGTCAACCGTGCCAAAGTGATAAATCTCTTACTTTGCTAAGTATCGATTGCGGCTCGGCTCAGGACTATCCAGATCCATTATGAGCGCCATGAACGCATGTAGCGTCAACGTGACCAGAGGCATCCTGAAACAGCCAATGAGTTAAACTCAATTACGTTCTACTTTAAAAAAGAAAAAAGAAGATCCATCGCACGAGGAACTAACCATAAGATCGCAGTGAGAGCGACAATCAGCGAACTGACGCTCGCCAGGACGCACACTACGGAAAATATGAACAGGATGATGAGTGTGCCTAATAGGCCCTTGGCATCGCAGTTCCATAGCCTATTTAAATGTCTGGTCATGCGTTTGCCGATGAATCCTAAAAAGATATTGTTAACGTATTGGTATTGCATTACTAATATTCAGAGTCTGATACTCTAATTATATTTCTGTTAAAATATAAACATGATAAAAAGAGATCTTACCTGTGTCTGGTTCAGTTTTAAAGTGCGTTCTACTTTTACTGATATGCCTCCAGAGTGCTATTAGTTGGGAACAAAGAGTAGGCATTTGCGAAGACTTTCTCGAAAACAATGTCCCATTTCGTTGACTCAATTCCAAGTCGGGGGTAAACAATTGCACCAGCAGTAGAGCGCGGAAAGACACTGGACTACACCACGGGACAGCTATACCCAACAGGAACATCGCATTCCAAGTCCAACACCACGTTCTGACGATGTAATTTATTCAGCCACATCGGCCACCTTTATCACAAAATCATTAAAGTACCGAACATGAGAATGCATAATAATAGTTTGATCGATTGCGGTACCTTGTCGTAGTTGTGTGTACAATCTCTCTTTCAACCAAAAAAACAGGCTGGCCAGGATCAGCGCGAGGCGTCGTGATAGAAGTCGGAGTATTGCTCAGTACGGTTGGAATGATTTCGAATTGGCCTTGAAAATTACGTCTTATTATCCAGTTCTTCGGTAGCCAGATTTGCGTCGGCCATTGAAAAGTCCTCGTCGGAGTTTTCACTTTCCGCAGTTCTTTCAGGAGAACAGGCTCTCTCTGAAACAGACAAATCCAGGTTTCTAACAAATTCCAAGATGATAGAATTCAAAGATCGGGCGGTAGATACCTCTTTCATGAAAGTTAAATCACGATTGAGGAAATACACAGTCTGCGTGAGATTCTGATGGCTGCAGAGCGCGAGAGCTTCTTTATGCGCACTCCATTCGCACTCCTCAATGAAATTCTCCTCGGCCTTGCGCTGCGATCGCTCATCCACGGCTGTATCCGCGACAGAATCGGATGCTCGCTCTCGATAGGATGTCGCAGAGATTCTTTGGTTTGCGATAGCTTCCGTTGCACGTTCTCCACCGCTCGGCTTAGATGTCAGGAAGTACACAGTCTACGTGAAATTCTGATGGCTGCAGAGCGCGAGAGCTTCTTCATGCGCGCCATATTCGCACTCCTCGATGAAATTCTCCTCGGCCTCGTGCATGCGATCGCGCATCCACGGCTGTATCCACGACAGAATCGGATGCTCGCTCTCGATACGATGTCGCAGAGATTCTTTGGTTTGAGATAACTTCCGTTGCACGTTCTTCACCGGCTTAGACGTCACATAAAGGCTGGGTTCCACTTATCGCTCACAACGCTCGCGACGCGAGCATCATTTCGTCCTTGTTTAACATTTGACAAACAACAAGGATGAAATGATTCCACGAGCGTTGCGAGCGATAAGTGGAACGCACCCAAAGGTTATTCTACCATAGAAGTCGTAGTCGTGAGTTGTAAGAAATTGACCAATCACAGATTGAATATTCTCCTCAACTTCGAATGTGATTGGTCAATTTCTTACAACTCACGACTACGACTTCTATGCAGAATAACTTTAAAAGCGCGCGGAGGACGCAAACTGCTCACCGAGAAGTCGCAGCCCCGTTAACAATGCTTTAAGGGATTGCGAGACACTTGGGAGCAATGGAAAACTAATCTGTAACCTTTGCCGTTACAACGAAAAACCTAAGTCGCCAGGGCGAGATCTGTGAGCAACGCGACCCGCATTCATCTCGGTCGCGCTGCAGGAGACCGCTCAATTGCCATCGGTGCTAAAAAATTTACTTAATTTGTAAAGATCTTGAAATGTCAGAAATCATGATCGCTATTATATATTGTTGTAGTTGATGTAGACGTCAAAACTTCAATAACCTATCTTGACGTAATCTCAATTGATTTAAATGTAAACTAACATTTTACTTTGCGAATAGATATTATTATATATATTCATATTATTATAGAAATTGCACAGCAGAAACGTTTAAATAGTTAAGAACCTACACATAAAATAATTTCAAATTATAAAACAGAAAATAATTGAAAATTATAAAGCATGCAATAGTTTTAAACAATATATATCATAGTTCCATTTATCAGCAAATAACATCATATTAAGGCCATTGCACGTAAGTGGTCTACAACCTTGCTTTAAAGGATAAGCGGGGAGCACACTTCTGAACAACGCATAATGCGTAAGGATAAGAA